AGAGTAGTAGTAGTAGTTAGAGAGAGAGAGAGAGAGAATTTAGAGAGAGAGAGAGGGATTACAAAAGCAAGTCTGTGTTCATTATTCAATTGGCATTATGAGCTTTCTATTTTCATGTTTATTGAATCTAGGCGGGTTTGGGTTGAAATAAAAACTAAAAGAGCAACTTCATAATGCGAATGACTTCCCTATTCTCTCTCTTTTTCTTATTTGAATATGGGGAAAGGTTTCTATACTTCTTTTAAAAATAGAAGATGTAATATTTTCTTTCCCTCCAGCCGGCCAATTAGATCAAGTGAGCTATTTATGGTTTGATCTAAAACTCACTTCTGAATATATTATTTTTAATTTTGTTTACAAATTATATGAACTTGAAATTTGGTAAGCCTCATCATCTCAATAGGGCGCACTTCTGAATATATTATTTTTAATTTTGTTTACAAATTATACGAACTTGAAATTTGGTAAGCCTCATCATCTCAATAGGGCGCAGTTAAAAGAAATATTTAAAAATATTTTTGATAAAATATAATAATCAAAGTACTTCTAATGATCAAAGTACTTTTGAAAATTTTAATGGTATTTTGATAATTTTATTTTATTGGAAATTTTTTTTTATATATTTTTCACTAGTGCAAGTTTAAGAGAGGAATGGGCTGCCAAAATTTAATGTCAAAATGCTTAGTAGAAAAAATAAAAAATAAAAACATGACAATTGATGCCATCTCAGCTGTCTATTCAGAATGGATGGTTGGATAGGGAGAAACATATTATATTGCCCTTAAATATGACTATTCCTGTTAATAATTCTCTCTCTCTCCCTTATTTGATGATGAGTTGATGACTATGCATGCCTCTCTCTTGCATACCACCCATAATTTTTTTTTCATCACTTGATGAAGACATAAGACCAAGGCATCATATTTAATACTGCATTTCTTTAGTAGAAAGTTCTACAACACAAGAGTTCTCCATGAACTAAGTATGCATGCCATTTAGAAATGGGCTCAACGTTAGGCTGTTAGGGTGGCGGAGTACCATAATAACGTCTTGAGTTTCATTTTTAAAATAAGCGATTGTATCCTTACATAATTATCGGAAAAAAAAAAAGATGCACGTGATTTATTTACTCACAAGAAACCCTTGATATTTATTCCTTCCCCTGTACATATCAAATAGGGCTTGTATACCATAAAATCATTTATCTTTATTACAAAGAGGTCATAATTGCGATACTAGTCATTAGAAATCAAATTGGATGACTTAAGGTATGACACAAAAGTTTGAAATATTTTTTAGAACTTTGAGTTTAGTCAATGATATGCTGACAACCACTCTATTTGAAATCTAATCGACAAGAATTTTTGTGTTCTCTTTGCATTAAAATAAATGGTTTCTTTGATACATCTTCCATCAAATACATGTTTAACTCCTCTTCTAAATATCGTAATTCTTTGACAGTGTATAATGTTTGTGTCAACTTCAACCATATTTTAAAAAACTAGTGAGCTGGTAGCAAGCTGGCTCAGACCCTCTTAATCAGAGCTAGTGGGGTGGGAGTCAAGGCCGAAAGACTTCCTAAACTCACCTGGTTTTCAACGGTTTTTTTTTTTCAAATTTAAATACAGAAAGAATTTCAAAAAAATGGTGAGTCGGATCAGAACCGTAGGTACGGTTAGTTTGGCACATTGTCTTTCATAACATTACTTTAAACCATTTCTTAGTCTGCTCAAATCACTCTCTCTGGTGTCTCTCTCAAGGCCACATGCATTGGGATACTGTTGTCTACTAACTCTCTCAATATCTCAAGTACCCGTCAATTTGATGCGGATGGATAGCAGGATGGACAAGCACCTTTTCAATGGTTGAGATTTTATAAGGTCGTATTTAACGGCCAATAACTGATTTTATATTTTATTAAGATAGGTCTTGATGAGAAACTTCAAATATAAGAAGGGAAGTATGAGAGAAAAAAAGGGGGGAAATAAGATAAAATGGACGACAAATAGGACGAGCACGTCCAGAGTTTTGTTGTATATCATTATTGGAGGTTGAGATGATAAGCACTTTTTCTAGGTTTTGTTCGAGTCTTTGAGGTGTTGGGGGGCCATTATGTTGTTGGTAGGTGTGCATGCTGGGTTTGAAAATTTATGCTTAAAAAACAAAACTACTTGAATACTGAAAAATCTCACTTATTAACTTCTTGTATAAACGAAATAAAGACTAAAAAGTACAACTTCATCCAAAATTCTAAATGGAGCTTTTTATATTGGCCCATATTTTCAAATTTTCATTAGGCTACAAGAAAAAAAAAAGATTTTTTAATGGACCATTTTTTTGTTTTTTATTTTTGTTGGAGAAGCATATAAAGAGACCAATGATTTAAAAAACGTGCCGATTATGTCAATATATATGAAATTGTCAGAGTTTAGAAGAGAACCTGTGATGTGCTACAGTATAATGGTGTTTTGCTATAATAAAAACGTTGTTTTGTTACAGTAAAAACGTCGATTCACTGATCTGGATCAGTTTTTGGCCGGTTCACTGTTTTTCATGTGTTTTTCACCGGTTCACTGTTTTTTCAGCATAGTAAAATGGCGATCTAGACCTCCAATTCATGGATCTGGACTGGTTTTTGCAATGCCTGATCCTAGTTACTACCATTTTTTAAATCCTTGAACCTTTTGATATAATGAGGTTACAATCACGTTCGCATGTTAGATTTCAAAATTAGGTGGTTGTATGGTTGTTATTGACCAGATTAAAAGTTAAAAAAAAACTTTTCAAACTTTATAACACACCTCAAACTAAACAATTTGATATTTAATGGCTAGAAATAATTATCACCTTGTAGAGAAGATAAATAGCCTCTAGTGTATTATCATTAAAAAACAAAAGAAAAAAGAATAAAAGTGAGGGTCTTTTAGGGGTTTTGACAAGAACATGAGGGTAAGATGCAAAGAGTGGGGTCCAATTAGAGTGAGAAAGCAATTAAATTGGAAGGAAAGAGTAAGCAAACACAATTTAGTTGCAAAAGGAGCCCACCACCAGGGCTTGACATTGTGGCCCATGGGGAGGGGATAAAGGCACATGCGTGTCCGCGTGTGACGATAAATGAAACGTCATTGTAAAGAGAGAGAAAGAAAGAAAGAGAGAGAGAGCGAGAAAACCTTACGCAACAAATTAGAGAAAAATAGAGGTTTCACATGCATGCCCAAACGAAAAAACATGAATGAATGCATACGTTCCTCTCTCTCCTACTTCATGAAAAAAACATTACTTGTTTTCAATGTCAAGAGTAGGTTTTTTATTAATAAAAGCACGGGCTTCCACATTACAATTACAAGAGGAAGAAATAGAGAATGAATATTTACTTCAAAAAAAGACCAATCATCACTCCTGAATCTGAAAGACCCAACACTACAAAGAAGCTAAGTACCCGCATGCCCTCTCCAGTCCATTAGCCTCAACCCTGACCACTCACCACCACTTGGAAGCACCATCCCATCACAGTAACCACATAAGCTCGGGTTGAACCAACAATAAAAATACTGATGGAACGTAGACTTATAGCGGCATCTAACGGTGTCGGTGCAACCAACGAATGGGACGTAGGGTTTTAAAGATAGGGCAAGAGAGAAGTGGGTGGGAGGAGAAAACAAAGTGAGACATAACCTAAAGCGGAAAGAGTTACATACAAGAGATCTAAAAAAAAACCAACTAACAAAAAACACAGCAGGACTCAAACCAAAAAATCCTCGAGAAAAACTGAACCAAAAAGATCAAAACAAAAGAGATAAAAAAAAGTAGCTAAAGATAAAACTAAGGAAGAGAAAAGAAAAAGAGAAGTAAGAGGGAGAGAGAGAAAAGAGACAAGAGGCTAAAGACAAAAATCAAAGGAAAAAAAAAAAAAGAAAAAAAAAGAAGAGAAAAGACGAAGCCAATAGCACTACATCTAGGAGGGAAGAGGAGAGGGAGGGAAGTGAGAGAAAACAATTAAAATGAAGAAATAAGAAAAATCAAAGAAGGGGTACAAAAAAAAGACAAAAAGCAAGAGGGAAGAACCAAAACAGGGGAGAGCAGAAACCGAACAGAGGAAAACCACGAGCAAAGAAACAACCGTTGGATTGAGCCCGAGGTCGCTAGAGCAGAGGGCTTGCTGGTCGCAGAGCAAACGACTTTTTGGGCGTTTGTGCTACGCCAGAGGTGTTGAAAAACTTGAGGGAAGCGATGGATCCACTCTTAAGATTAGGGGCAGTGTCGTGAGACTATCGATCATAAAGATCAGGCTTTTACCAGAACTGTGAGAACTCTGTAAATTTCAGTGTACTTCTCCATGGCCATGAAACCCTTC